TTCTTTCTTTCTTTCTTTTCTCTTCTGCTTCTTCTTCTACTTCTCCTCTTCCTCCTCCCCCTCCTCTTCCTCCTCCTTTTTCTTCCCCTTCTTCTTCTTCCTCCTCCTCCTCTTCCTCTTCCTCTTCTCTTTTCTTTAGTCAGACCTTGTTTTGTTTCTTTGTTTTGAGGTAATAGGAAACATTTTGAACATATTGCAGTGTAACCTCTCCCCTGCATACCACACTACAATTAATTGTAATAGGATTTTCCATTCCAGATCATCAAAGTCAAAACATCTTAATTCAGACTGGCTTCCCCTTCCTTTCTGGGCATCTTCCCCATTGTAAGTTAGTGCATTCTCAAAGGTACAAGGCAATTCCCACATTAGCCTAAGGAAAGCTTTGGAAAACAAACATACTTGTTTTTTGGACTCTCTCTTTCAATAACAGTTACTTGAAAATAAGATGATACTCAGAGACAAGTCAGTTATTTGGAAACCCACTGGTGAAAGAGTATTTATATAAGATTGGTATGGTTGGCATTTCAAGCCAGGTTTTCTACCTATCAAGCTTTATGTAGTCACTTTTAGAATTAACCTCACTGACTGACATACTCTTAGTACTTTCAGTTTTGTATATGATGTTTATAACTTTCTTACCCTTTGGGCTTAGACAAGGCCATATTAATTTTATTTTGGCTGAATTTTGGAGAAACAAAAATGCAGCAATGATTTAATTGCTGTTCTTTTTTATAATAAATATAGCTGCAGAGCACAGCATGGTCTTGGTGGTTACTCCATGGAGAGAGGGAGGTCTTCTATGTCAGACTCTAGGCTTTTGTTATCCGAGTGGCTTTGGGCAGGTAACTCAAGCTTTTTCAGTCTCAGTAATTCTGCTTCATGAATGGTGAACTTTGCTGACTGTATTTCATCTCCCTTTTATATGGATCTTTTAGAAAATGAATTTAGAAGCAAACTGCCTTATGGTTCATTCTGGGCTTGCCTCATCTTACTTTTCAAGGTTTAAACTCCTTGCACACAGGCCTGTATGGTTTTTCTTTTCTGTAGAAAATATATATTTGGGAATGGTTGAACACATAAATAATACAGCATATGGTTAATTAACCTGAACAACAACAACAACAACAAAAAGGAAAAGCTTTTTCATTTTTCTTTTTCAGTTTTGTTTTAATTTGAACAATGCTAATTCAGGCAGCTTTTTGGTTAGGCATTGGAAGAGTCTAGGCTCTGTTTAGACTCTGTAACACAGTTCTTTCCTTTCTAATGTAGACATTCTCATAAGCCAGCATGGTAAAGAGGTCAGTTAAGTTTTCAGTAACTCAGGCTATTCATTTGGGGGAGTGCATAGGACAGGGAACGATAACTGCTCACTGTCAACACCTTAGAACTTTATTGTTTCTAATGTACAGCCCAACTCCTTTCCAAAAAGAATTCCTGAAAAAGTATACATGGAATGACACAATTAAACATAAGAGTTAAAGAAAAGGGACTAGTTGCTATTTAAAATATGGGAAATGAATATTTTACCAGGTGTATCTCCTCCTTCCAGCAGGCAGCGCTGACACCTTCTCCGCAGAGGCTCCACAGAGCCCTCAGCAGAGCCCTAAGGGCTTCTGGGATAGGTCAGACGGCCTGGGGAGAAATTATGGGAACACAAGATATTGAACTTTCCTCTCAGATCTGGAGAGTGTGCAGGAGACGATAATAAGAAAGGAGAGCAAGAAAAATCTGTTGCAGTATTTCTTTAAGTAATAATGGAAATACTAGACTATTTCTGTGTGCTCTTCAGTGGGATTCTTTTTGAGTTGAAAGTAAAGAAAGCAACACATAATTTCTTGGGAAATTTCCTGCTCTGCAACATGTGAATTTCAAGTGACGTCTGAATTTTTTGTTTTAGTTCTAGCAGCTTGCTTCAAATTTTCCCTTAATGGAATACAAGGAATTTCACAGTTTGCTCTACCTTCTTAATTTTTTTGAACTAAAACATAAATTCTTTGTGTAGAAAAAGTATAGGTATGCTGGTAAAAAGACTAGTATATATTACTTTATAATATAAGTATATATATATATATATAGGATAAAGAATATATTCAAGTTTCTGAAGGTGCCAAAGGGTCTGCCATGAGAAATCATCTCACTCACTTCTAGCCTCTTAGCCAGAGGCCCTTTCTCTAGAAACCACCACCTTTACCAGTTTTTTGTATGCCTCACCAGACATACTTTCTAAATGTGCAAATATCCACTAAAATACACAAAGATTGTATGCACTGTTCTGGACCTAGCCTTTTACAAATATTTGTAGTATGTTTGGAGATTATTCTTTATCAGTGTATGCAGAACTTCTTAATTCATTTTAGTGGGTGCATAGTATGAGTGTTCCAGTATGGAAGATGATTTTTAACATTCCATTCCATATGAGATTGAATTAATATCACAATCGTATTTATTGGTGATTTAATCAGTATTCTTTATCACACTTATTAATAGTATGTGATGTGAATATTTAACCAGCCCTCCACTGATATTTAAATTGCTATCTTAAATTATTTCAAACTTTGCTAAAAATATGTTCATGCATATCTGTAGATGAAAAAGATTGCTAGGTTGAAGTTTATGTACACTTGAACTTTTTAATGTATGTACTTAAGGTGTACAACTTGGTATTTTGATGTAATATACATAGTAAATGGTAACTACAGTCAAGAAAAATAGGATGTCCATCATTTCACGGTTATCTTTGTGTGTGTGTGTGTGTGTGTGTGTGATGAGAAAACCTAAAATTTGCTCTCAACAAGCTCCAGTATTCAATAGTTTTATTCATTATAGTACTCAAGCTGCCTGGTCCTTATCTAGACTCACTCATCCTATGTAACTATTTAACTTTGCACCCTTTGACTTACACCTCTCCATTGTCTCCTTGCTCCCCTCAGTTGTAATTTTGTAATTCTTCTTTTTTTTTTTGGTATCAGGGATCGAACTTGGATCCTTGTGCTTGTGAGGCAGATGGTGGCACCACTGAGCTAAATCCCTTGCCTCATAGTTGTAATTTTGATCAATGTTGCTAAAATAAATGCCTTAATATACATTTGTCATTAGACTATGATATATTTATTAAATTTTTGTTATTCACTATACTGTTGTAATCTGCATTTCTCTAATTTAGGTAAGATTGGTCATTTTTTCCCTACATGCTTAAGAGCCTTCTTTTAATGTTACACATTTTATTGCCCTTTAAGATAAACCAAATTGCAATACAAATTCATGGCCATGAAAAGGAAGAGGAAGCAAATATTATTTTACAGAGAATACAATTATTCATTCTTACTTATGTAACATTTATGTAATAAATACTGTCTTTCTATATGCACAAAACTTTCACTTTTGTATCAGTAAGTCATCTTTATCAGTAAGTTACTTAACATGTTAAAACTAAGATGATATATCTAGAGAGTGTGGAAAGGAGGTGTCAGCTAGGTATCCTTGAGAAATGGGGGTGTGAGTAAATATATGAGGCGGGAGGTGGCTAAACCAACCATGTATTTAGGCAAAGAATATTCTAGCAGAGAAAATAGCCAGTGCTAAAGCCCTAAAATGGCAGTGTGCCTAATGTGTTTGAAGAACAATCAGGATGCTAGTGTAGTTCACATGAAGTGAGCAAGGATAGAGAAGTAAGAGATGAGGGCAGAGGGGTAATGAAGATATCAGATTGCATACAGCCTTGTAGACCACACTATAAGAGCACTGGCATTCATTCATTCATTCATTCATTCATTCATTCATGTTTGCAATACGCAGAGAAGACATTTGGTACATGTACATGACATATCTTAATTAGTTTTATATCCCCTTTTTCTCCCCCTTCCCTCCCTGTTTCCTATTGTCTTTTATTTTCTTCAGAGCCAGGTGTTTCCTTTCCTGTGAGCCATCTTTCCCTTTTTCTAGTTTTCAGCCTTATTCATTATGGTGGGGGGTGTTAAGGAATGAATCTGGGCTTCACACATGCTAGGTATAGCTTATCTTATTCATAAACTAGGTATAGTTTATGAACTAAAGGGCATGCCCTAATTCCTTACTTATCATCTATGTTTATGGTCAAGTTTTTGTTTTAAAGTGCTGTAATTTTTGCTTTTATGGCTCAAACTTATCAATCTTGCTACATGCCATTCACTGGAAGTCTGAGATTTGAGTACCACCTTTATTGTGTACAAGATTTCCATCTTTGACCATGTCCTTGCCTTTGAAATTTGTTCTATTGATTTATCCATCATTCTTGTCATGTTCTGAATCAGTTTGGGAAGTTGGAATCAGTTGGGAAGTCGGAATCAGTTTGCGAAGTCCACTTTTGTGTTTTTATGAGGTGCAATAAAAAATCAGTGAACGCTATTGCCAAGTGCCATCCAACGGAAAGAGAAGATTGTAAAAATATTCCTAATGTGTCCTCATCCACCTTATTCATTGGATCTGGCATTGCATGACTTCTGGCTCTTCACTAAAGTCAAGATGACCATGAAAGGTGAATAGAGTCAGTTCAGGACATTAAGACAGCCACTACGGCACAACTAACGACTCTCATAAGGGAATACTTGTGGAACTGCTTCAGAAAGCGGCAAGAACAATGGCATAAGCATGTTCCAAGCAAGGAAGTATACAGTATTTTCAGGAGGATTGTTTACTGTGTCTTTTACTGTAATGAAATTTATAAAAACTGTAAACATTCATTACATTTTTCCATCACACTGCATAATTTTTCAAATGAGTAAAATGTTCCCTTTATGTGGCCAGATTGACAAATTAATTTAGAGAATTAATAATGTTAACAATACTTTTGCTGAATTTGGCTAGGAAATGGAAGTCACAATGCTGCTGTGATAGCGGTGCAAAAAATGATAATGTTGATATAAATTTAGATTATAATAAGAGAAAACAGTATTCATGATTGGTAAGATTGTTCTGAATACTTTGAAAATTTATTGACAAAGTATTATTTCCTTTTCTTATAGATTTGTCTAAAAACAGACTGGTGGAAGTTCCAATGGAATTGTGCCATTTTGTATCGCTGGAAATTCTTAATCTGTATCATAATTGTATTAGAGTCATTCCTGAGGCCATCATTAATCTGCAGATGCTGACCTACTTAAACTTGAGGTAGGTAAACTATAAAAGTTGTACTCAGATTCGGTGATGAAATACAAGATAATTTATACTTTCATTTCTGTCTTTTTTTTTCTACTTTGCCATTTCTGATCACTCTGAAGCCAATCACACAGGGATCACTTAAGAAATATCTTCTGTAATAAATTTGTACTGTATTTAATAACTGTTCTTGGTGCTAGACTTCCCTGAATGTTAATATGATAAGATTTTCTTGAAAAATTATTTACATGGCATCATTTATACCCTTTATCTGATTTGTGCTTATAGATAGTACATATACTATATTTAGGTATTCATGTAGATTGGGGAGAAGGAAGGGAAAAATTTGAGAGTTGGAATAAATCAAGCTGTACTAATCTTTAGGGGTTGTGGGTACCACTGGTCTTTGCTGTCAAACCCATTCTCCTTAATCCACCTTAAGGAGTACTGAGCTACTCTAGCCAGACACAAAGCTTACTGTCTTTATAGCCCACTAACACAGGTCAGTGGTTGCCGAGGATAGTATGGTAGTGCAGGTTGAGTTACTGATTAAGCATAACATAATATATTAATGTCCCCAGGCATCCCTGAAGTTAGGAAAATTGGTTATTTTAAGGCCTTGATTTTAGTTTGCAGCTGGCTGCTCTGGCCATATTCTGGCTCTTTGTCACTTAACTTCTTGCCTCACAAATCAGGGATTTTGGAAGAGAAGGTGGGTGTTTTGTCAAAATCTGTCTCTACTATAGAAACAAGATCTTAAGTTCTAGCCCATGACTCTTGCATCAACTTACTGTGTAAAAAGTAGAACCTGATTAGCTAGGCTTGTGCTGTGTAACAAATACACCCAGTTTTTAAGTTCAAAATTCCCAACTGAATCACATAGAACAATACTTTATAATAGATAATAGTGCCAGTAGAGTATTTTGTTTTTTAATTGGCTACTGAGAATTATGGTCCTTCTCTCACTGTCTTTGTAGCAAAGGAACTATTTTATAGAACTACATGTTCTTCATCAAGGTTGAAAAATATTGTGGGCATGTTTATAAATGACTTTAACTTCTTTTTGAAATTGAGGGTTACTTTTAGGATAATCTGTAGACTGTTCTACAGGTTAACTCTTCTAAGGTTTCTAATTCACCTAACAATTATGAATTTTCTTGCTGTTTCTTTTTAAAAAGATTTTTAGTACATGTTTTCAGTATACAATGTTTATATTCCTTGTGAGCAGTAGGAACAAGTATATAAAACATCCTGATTACTTTTTTAATCTCCCTCTCTTTATCTCTTGATTCCCTTTCCATTTGAGAAAGCTGTATTTCCCTACATCCTTTTTTTTTTTTTTTTTTTTTTTTTTGAGACAGTGTCTCACTATGTAGTTGAGATTGACTTGGAACTCACTAAGTAGCCAAAGCTGGTCTCAAACTCACAGCGGTCCTCCCGCCTCAGCCTCCCAAGTGCTGGGATTACAGGTGCGTGCCACCATGCCCAGTTTACCTACTTCCTATTATCTAATTTTTCATTTTCTCTATATTTACAATTTGGGTTTCTCATACAAGAAAAATCACGTGATATTTTAACGTGTGTCTGATTTATTTCACTTAACATTATGTATGGTCTCTGGGTGTATCCATTTTCCTACAACTGACTCATATTTATCTTTCTGGCAGAGTAGTACATTAAATGTAAATGTCACATTTTCTTTATCCACTCATCTCTTGATGGGCATATAGACTGCTCCCAAGATTTAACTATTGTAAATTGTGCTGCTATAAACATGGGTATGCATGTATCACTATAAAATGATGTCTTTAACTCTTTTAGAAAGATACCTAGAATGAGGAATAGTGGGGTCAAATGGAATTGTAGTTTTAGTTTTTTGAGGAATATACTGATTTCCATAGTGGTTGTATCAGTTTACACTCCCACCAAAAATAGAAGGCTTCCTTTTATCCTGCAGTCTCACCACCATTTGTAGCTATCTTCCACAGCAGGATGTTAGCTATTTTAGGATTTCTGGCTGGAAGCAGCATAGTGCTGGCTGTAAGTTTTGGTTCAATATCTCCCTGAGACATTTGTCCTCTAAGCCAACCACAAAAGTGAGCTATTCCAAAAGGATATGCAGTTGGTCTGTTTACTTACCCTCTGTAGTTCTTCTGTGATATTTTTACTTTAATAGTACTGCTTCCAATAAGTAAATAGATTAACTTTATGTTGTTATATTAGGTCCAGCTGCACTGAAAAGTTTTGGGCTATAGAGGACATTTTTCTTCCTGGGTGACGTAGACTGTAAAATAATAAAACTACTTGTTAATCTTATCTTACTATCTTTTCAAGACATTGGTAAAGTTGATTTCCTTATGATGAATTTTATGTTGCACTTTGATGAGAATAGAAGATTATTGTTGTTTTTAGATGGGTTGAAATTTGGAGTATGGGTCTTAGAATTGTCTAAGACAAGGACAGAGAAAAGTCATTGATGATGGCCAAACAAATCTGTGTGGTACATTAAAAGCAGAGTTTTGTGATTAATTCCTAGGTTATAGAAAAGAGGAAGAAATAGAGGGACAGGGATGGGGAATTAGCTCAATGGTTCTGCCACCTGCCTCACAAGTGCAAGGACCCGAGTTTGATACCGGGTACAAAAAAAAAAAAAAAAAAAAAAAA